ATCTATCAAAAGGGCAAAGGAAAAGGAATACATGGCTGGCGGAAGCGAAAATTGGTTAAAGAATTGAATAAATGCGTAAGAATTATCATGGTAAACCACTAAAAAAAGTTATAGTATTATAGTACTCGAATAATGATATCCGAATATTTGAATATTCGAATACTGGAATAATTCCCATCACTAGTATTAACACTATTAACTAAAATCGCAAGCGAACTTCGTTCTTTTTTCAGAAGGATATGGAGAGTATAACTATAACTATATGCTATTTGTATATATGTTATATATATAATAGTATTATCTCTCCTTTAGATACACTCATTTATGTACTATGCGTCTACACCTACGTCATAATAATTCCATTCTCTTCAGATTTAAATTTATCATGAGAGCATTTTTTTAATTTACTGCACAATATAACAATTATAAGATAAGACAATTACCATAAGATTAGACATATTAGATTAGACCTACCTATCGGCTATACTATAACTCTACCTATGAATTTTAGTTACCTACCTAAGTTAAACACACGTATTGGTATTTGGTTAGTACCTATGTTACAATACTTTTACGATCAATATTAAAGACATAAAATGATCATCGATTTATTTACAAATTGTACAGTGCTCTTTCAAAACAAATATTATTTTTTATGTACCTACGTAAGAACATAATGTAAATTTAAATATTAAATATTGAAAAAACTGCATAATTTCGTAAGATAAAATACCATGTAACTACATTTTTCATGAAATTGAGGTTTTTAAATGAAAATCAGTGAAGTAACAAGGACCTTTTTTTGAGGGGGAGGGAGGGTAGTATGGAAAATTGTCAATACAATAACAAGAAAAACATACATTTAATATCATTTTGGTTTCCTTGGTTTTTGGGAAAAATTGGAAAAATTTTGTTTCATTTCAAATTTCCGGAAAAATATGGTTTCTTAGAAAAACATTTTTCCCAATGAATTTAAAATGGAATATTGAGTGGAAACAATCCAATGATAGATAGTAATCATAAGACATTAAAGGTTTCTCGGAAATACACTATCCCACATGAATATTTTATAGTTAGGTACCGTTATTTTAAGAACAAATATTAAAATGTCCGTATTAGTAGTAAATATATTACATTCGCCGTATTTACAAATGTGAAATGGCAGTGGACGAGGTATTAAATTTGCTAAAGTTAAATTATCGGAAGAGATATCAAAAATTCCTGATTATTTTTACAAATAAAAATATTTCTGGGATTATAAGCTGAAAAATAAGAAACGACGATGAAGACCTTGCAGAGTTGTGACCAGATGATATTTCTTGATTAAAATACGCATCACCCATAGTGTCGCAGCAGACGTGGAAAGAAGTTTTTCGAAATACAAGGTGATGCTACATGACAATCGTAGAAGTTTTCAATTTGATAATTTAAAAGCACATTAGGTTACATACTTACATCATGTTGGTACTCATTCAATAATTAATATACAATTTTATGGTATACACACATTTTAAATACTGATATTTAAATTGTATTTTATTTTTACCTAATACTATATTTTTAAATTTGTTTTAAATGTTGGTTTTTTTAACACACAATACATTTTTTTGAGTGCATAAAAATGTTTATATTAAACAATAATTTTTGCATATACAAGTACGGGCCCTGGTTCTGAGTGTTTGAAGTTGATATTTTTTTTGACATTGGATATTAAATTAATTACCTATAGGTCATTAAACATACTTCTCTTCAATCAAATTTTGATATTTTTTTGTAATTCAAAAAACGAACAATCGTAGATACTTGACGTTTTTAGCAAACGCTTATTTTTTCATTTTCTATAGAATTGTCATAATAATATTTTCTATATATTTTAACTATAACTTATTCATGGATATTTTAAATTTTAAATGTTTTTTAGTTTTTTTTCAATAAATATTTCTATACTAAAAATGTGGCTGGGTCAAAAGTTTGAAAATTTAGTAGGTACCTACAAGGTTTTTTATAACTCATATTATGCTGTTATTGTGGCATTTAAAAAAGATTTATGATACATAATACTATGGCTGAATTTTTTTTATAAGTATTTAAGGTTAAAATGTTTGATAAATTATCCAAAATCATGAAAATTTGAAAATATTTTTTTAGTTAATACGTACTTTTACTGTATCTATTACTAATAGTAAAATAAATTACATTAATAACGGTACCAAATAAATATCTTAAAATATAAAAAGATATACCTAATATAAGCTGACAGAAATCATTTTTCATATTATGTAATGATTTGTCATTGAATTAAAATGATTTGGCATTGGCACATATATTATCATAGTGGCTATTACCCCTCATTCCTCATTAAAGAGGTACACTCGACGTCTATTGTACGGCAGAATGGATTTCCGATTTCTAAATCACACCCGCAGAACAGATGAATATAATATGTTTCACAATATCATGCTACCTCATGGGACTAGGAGGAACTAGACCTTAAAGTTAAGAGGTCTTCAGCCCTAGAATTTTAATAGTAAGTAAATAAAGTAATTGTTACTAAATTTAAATGTAAATCAGTTGATATTTTTTATTTTATTACTTTAGTGTGTACACAACACGAATCATAAAACAGTGGAATGAGTTATGAGGTAAACATTAAATTATTAAAACATATTATTTTTGTTATAAATTCAAGTTTTTAATTTTTTATAATATAAGTGAAAGTTAAAGAATTGATTTGGGTAACATAATACGATAGTCATTATACAGTTTAGGCCTCCACTCAGTATTGGCAGTTTTTTTTTTATAAATGTCTTCATTATTTAGAACATTAAATAAATCTTCTTCAATAGCTGTTATAGGGAACTTAGAGAATCGATTGGTAGACAAATTTGACCTTAAATATAAGTATTTATTCAATGCATTTCTGAAAATATTCTTTCTCTATAGATACGGAACTTGTTGAAACAAAAAGTAATAAATGTAGCATTTTATATAAATTTGGAAAAATAGATTTTTGGACAATACTTTTTAGCTGATTTAAACTTTCCTTATGATTGTTAAATGATAATAAAATTAAATGATTAATAATTGATTATCTAGCCATCATTTCTGATTTAAACTGACTAATTTATAATAATAAGAACGTTGACCAGAATAGAAACTATCAGACACATCACACAGCCGTTGTGGCGTTGTAATTATGAAGGAAAAATGTAGTATGTAATAAAAAGTACACGACATGATACATGATACACAGGTTCATCACATACAAATTATATTTTATTGCTTAGGTGTACAAAAAAAATAAAACGATATCTTACTTTAACATTTTTATCGTAGCTACTATTGGTGGGAGTATAGGAATAACTATGTCAGTTGGCTAAAATAAAAGTTATGCTTATATGAGCTAGATAATTCCTTTATACGCTTTAAAACTAGTATTACTATAAAAAAATACATATATCGCGTACTGATACTTTTTTTAGTTTTTTTGTGGTAGCTGGTAATTATAATAATTATTATATCTTTTTGTATTATATTTGATCGTTAGATAGAAAGTGGTTATTTGACTTTTAAAGCGTTTACACAAATTTGGTCTTTATAAATTACACTTTTTAAAGACACAAATTACCTCACATATTTATTGGTTTGTACCTTTACCACCTACTAAAATATTCAATTATAAGAAATACGAAAACCACAATATTATTACAGGCGACACTTGACAGTTTTGATGTATACGATGAGTCGGGGTCTTTAAACCCGTAAGCTCGTAGTTATATAGAAACACTTGTACATTGCAACATTTTTGGAGTGGCTGAGTTTCTATTTAACCGAATGCAGCTGATATGGACTCTGTAGGTAATATTAATCTCCTGTTGTATCGCTTTTTATTGTTAAGTTGACAAAGGATTATTTAAATGATGTATCATAATATACAGTCAGGTGTCCGTAACTAAGAAAGTTCAACGGAAGTGTAGCCAGGAATAAATCCTCTGAAATAAGGCAATATAAGGCCTCACAGGTTGCAGTTGGTTTTGGGCCCCACACGCAATGAAAAAAAAACTATAAATAAAACACTACTGTGTACTGCGGTAATTGAATTAACTGTACAATGTTAAAATTTTACCCAAAGTTAAAATATTATAATAATTGTATGTGGATACCAAATAAACAGCTATTTAAAATGGCAATCCGAAAATAACATACGAATAAACAAAAATATGTCATATTAAGTGTAATCAAAATAAAATGTGTACCTCTAATGATGCGTTCGGAAAATATTTTTAATGGCTTTTTAATACCTATTTAAGAAAGAAGGTTAGTATATAGACGACCGTTTGACAACTATTATTATACACCTACAATTTTGGGCTCCAGCCATGATCGGTCGTCTTAAGATGTTCGAGTTACCGGATTTCGGGTTACCATGAGCCAGGCGCGGATACAAGAGAGGGGCCATTGCCCACAAAATTTAAAAAAAAAGAGGCTTGCGAAAAAAATTATATGATTTATTATAGAATAAATCCAATATCCATTCTATAATCAATGAAAATACTATATTATTTCACATTAAATTATTCTTAGGCTCTAGTAATATTTAGCTCAAATGTAGAAAAAGTAATGTAATTAAATATTTTATAAGCAATAAAATGAGATGTAAGATTGAATAACCTAAATATTAAAAAAAAAAAATGTTGTTTAATTATTTTTTAGTCTATTTAAAGGTAACCTAATCTGCAGTAATCATCATTATCCTGATGTCGAGAAATATTATCATAATAAACCCTGATAATCTCTATTAATAATATTTGATGACCCCCCCCCCCCCGTAAATCTGTTCTAGATCCGCGCCTGCCATGAGCGCACTGTATACACTATACATATAGGTGCATATTATAATAGATTACTCATAATATAACGCGCTACACGTCGAATTCGTTTTATCTTTGACGGAAGGCGCGAGCTATACATATATCCATAGTATAAAAATCTCATATTATAATATAAATACGTACTTATAGCGCGTCCGATCAGAAGTATAGCGCACTCGTCGCCCTCCGCTCGACGTTCGACATAGTATAACATATTATTAGGTATAGGTATGATGTACTCGTAAAATAGCGATGTCGTAAACGCATCCGCGGCACCGCTTATACCTATCAAGAGTCCTGAGAATAAAGCCATCATCGTCGCCATAGGTATTATTACACTAGCCCGTGGCATATTCTTACTTTTTATCAATAGTAATTGATATTGATATTCAAAATAATTACAGTCAGATAATATAATATTACTGTATTATTGTACAATAATCGCCTTGAAGAATCCGACTTTGGTGTTTGGGCGATCAACTCGTCCGGCTACAGCAACAGCGACCTGCAATTGACCATGACGTCCGCCAAATGTTTTTTGGGCTGCACCAACGTCCGGTACGGTGCCCGGATTGTGTCCATATTGGACTTTGTAAGTATATCTTTATCTACCTACTATACGCTTCATGTAAACGGTTTCGAACTTTCGTAAGTTTTCTTATTTTACTTTATATTATTTTTCATATTTCGCGAACTAATTAGACTTTCGGTTTTGACATGTATATTACCTACATACTATTTAGATAGTGAAATATTATTGTTTCCTGTCATGCGAAGTGTATACTGTATATACCTATGTAATCGGCTAAATCATAAAATATACTATTATTTACTTTCAATCGGGCTCAAATAGATTATGTGTGCTACATGCATTTCTATATTATAATATGCAATTGAAAATAGACGCAAGCAGGTTTCAATTTTGGTAAAAATAAATAACCAGCGATAATTTATAATTGATCAAATAATACGATAATAAGTATCTACATTTTACTTCTAAAGTCTATTATTAAGTAGTGATAAAATCTTCTTCTATCACTTCAACATGCATTATTATTAAAATATATTGTATGGAAGTATGATATGTATTTATGTGATAACAATTTATATAAACTCACACTCGTTAATAGAAACTATTCTAGGTATTCGTAAACGTGATACATAAGTGTCCTTCGTGTTGTACATTTTAATCGAACTCAAAACCAATTGAAAGTTGCAAGCTTTAATCATCGGAAAATATTGGATAACCAGTTATTACTTATTAGAACAGGATGAATAATAATTCATAATACTTTTTAATTTTTTCACTTCTTAAAATAGGTAAACGTTTGTCTATGATCATATTATTGGATATAACACACAATTAACTATATGTCTACCTATATCATAGATTGTACAATAGTTTATTAATTTGCTTCATGTTGTTTGCACATTATTCAAGCATATATTTACAATATAATATTATTATACATTCAACACTATTTTTTTTTTCTAGGATTTGTAGAGCATGACGTAAACATAGGAAATTGTAAATTAATTTTTAATGATCGATTGTATATTTTTATATTAGGTAGTTAATACTTAATATTGTTTTTGGGTATTTTAATTGTTTGGAAATAATGGTATATGTCTATTTATTTTAATCTAAACAATTACTTAAAAGAAATTAGGTTCCTATAAATTTGTTTAATTTTCCATTCAGGCCACGGACGTGAATGAAATATGAATACATCGTACGCAAGCATTAGTTTTTTTTTTTATAAAGCTTTTAGGTACATTTCAATTTACATATTATCATAATAGTGTAGGTACCTACAATTTTGGGTAAGTGTTTCAAAAACACTGAAATAACGATTGTATACCAGCTTGTCAATAAACGGAGAAGTTAAATATATTTTTCACTGCGTGAATAGAAATCGTGACCAATAGGATATTGTTTACTTTGTTTTGAAAAACGATTTAACACTATTTCTCATAATTTTACAGTTTTCCTTTCAGGAATACCAAAACTATACATTTTTAAACTATGTAAATATTTACCTATCTAAAATTGAGTGTAGCTCTTCTGCTGCTCACACGGCAAATAATAATAATAGCTACCTACCTAATAAATATGATGATAATTGATAGTAATTGTGTTCGTAGAATTTTAATGAGACATTCAATTGCATATTCTAGGTGCATATTAACATATCCGACTAAGTGTTTTATACGGTATAAACGAGAGTGTGTTTTTTAAAAGTCAAAGAATTGTTTTGACAGTCATATATTATATTATTGGCATAAATGCACAATGCACCAACTCGGTGAGTTAAATAACATATGTCAAATTGAACTCTAAACTATTAAAGAAACTGTTTCCGTGAATAACGAATTATCTATATAGGTAACGTACTTCAACATAAAACAATATTTATTTACAAAATTTTAATATAAAAATATTATAATAATAAATAAAATAAAAATATTATGTTACACTTATTGAAAAATTATTATAGTATAATGATATAATATAATTGTAAACATATTTTGTTTATTACCTATATTGAAGGTACCTACCTATACATATTATAGGTACTCAATAGGCGATAGGCACCGTAGACTTTCATGTCACATACTCTCATGTAGTCATGTATTATTATAGTAATTAGTACCTAAATACCTAGTATGAATATATTACATAAGTATATAATTTATTGCTATGTAAAGATAATTATTTATTATACGGATTGTTATAAGTAGTACCTATATGGCTATACTACCTACTTAATCACTTACCTAATAATAATTATTATAATATACTTAAGTATTATATATTTATATAATTCAATAATGATACTAGTTTTATACATTTATAAGTTGTATTGTGACTTTTTGAGTAGGTATTTCGTCAAATAATTGGCTGATGAGTAATAATTGATGGTGCACATTATATAATATTTTAGTGTTATCAAAACAAATAAAACAATTATTATTTACTATATGTCTATATATATTAATATGCTAATAATAAAATTATAATATTTTAAATGATAATACTTTAAAAACGTCAACATATTTTGATAGAAGTTAGAACTCTCTAGGTAGGTAAGTTAGTTATATTAATGGGACATTCAAATGTCAAACTTTTTCTAACTATACTTTTAAATTCAGCAAATAATAACAAATACATACATTATCGTTCATAAATAAATAATGAAAAGAAATATTTAAAAAGGTAAATAATAAATATATAAAAAATAAATGTTCATTTCCTACATGATTAGGAAATAAGAGATGTACCTGGTATAGATATGATACCCTAACTCTTTAAATTTTAATGGTGCTTTATTAAAATGTAACATTTTTACTATAATTGTAAATTTATAATAATAGATAAAAACATGGATTTTCAGTCTACATTTATGATTTACCTATAATATAATTTCACGTAACACGCGTCAAGCATGTTTTTAAAAATTTAATTTAAAATTTATACTTAACTGGGTCTTTAATGGTCACTTAATACTGCTAGACATGTGCGTAATATAATTGTTAAATTGTTTCGACTGAAAAAAAATCGGTTATAAAAGTGTAAGTAGTTAGTATACAAAAATATAGCAAAATATCCTTAGGTAGATGTACATTTTTATTTTTCATCACTGCCTACTTTTATAATTTTATTAGCTTACGTTATAAATGTATATATTAATCAAATTAATATTATTTACTATTTAGTGCCTATTAGATTCATATTATTATCGATGACAATATTATTGTACTCGGAATAGCCGAGATAAAAATAATTACATCGGTTATCGATAACACCAAGAGGAGTTCCAATCTAAACAGCACATGTAATCTAGAGTAATATTATTTTATAATTACGCTGTACATGAATTAATATTCTTTATATATATATATATACATAGTATCTATATACATATATAAAAGAGCGAAATAGAAATCTTTGTTACGGGTTGATTCCGAAACAGCATGATTGATTGGCTGGTTCTTTTTTGTTGTGTTCCCAAAAGGTTCCTAAAGTTCCTAAAGGTTAATATGAAAGAAAAATTTTAGGAAAATCCACCGGAAAAGCAGAAAATGTTGAAGCCAAAAATACAATATAACAATTTTTAACGGGCAACGAAGTGCATGGCAACTTTTTTTTAAATGTTATAAATTTATAAAATAGAATCACTTTTAATAGTTTCTAGAGTGTTAAAAAAAATCATCTACAAATCTCTGCAGGTTGAGAAAAAACAATAGTAGAGAATATCAACTCTTGATGGTTAATAATATGTAACACATATAATGTAATACAATTCAGATGTATCAATATAAAATATACATTTAAGCATAGTGTATTTTTTTTATAGGTATCTATTATATTTGCGTATAGTTCAATAAATTATACAATTTAGTAAAAAATACAAGTTTTGTTCTTTATAAATCAATTTGGATCAACTGTTGATAGTCACTTTAACTAACGTCTAACTCTTCTTTATTTTTAGAAAATAAAAAATACCGCATACAAATTAAAGAATAGCAGTTTCTATAGAAATGTATAATATGTATAGATATTTACTTTAATTTAATAAACTCAAAAATAAAACTTCATCAGGATATTTTAATAGCGGCCTTTAGACTAATAGACTTACCTAAGTTCAATGATTTTTACGAAACTATCAAGACTACCTCTATATATATTCACTTTCTTCTTGCATTTTTTACTTAAATTTTCTTTTAGATGAGTCACTATTGGGTTCTGCCTCAGAAAAATAATTGTTATGTAAAACATTTTTTATTTTGTATCTACATTCTACACGCTACACTATATGTCTACTTGTCTATATTATATACTTATTTAAAAATTATAAGTATCAAAATTAAAGGTATAATAAATAAGTTTATTATCTAGGTATCTTTATAAAATAACTGAATAATTATCTCATTTTAAACTATTTAATTATACGTAGGTGTTTATAATAAAATATAGGTAGGTAATAATAATAATTCTAAAATGTTAAAAAAACCAATTTTTATTAATTGAAAAAAAAAAGTTTCAAAGTTTCAATTTGCTAACTATTACCTGTTAGTTGCGCTATTGGCCAAAATGCCCTGACTTTCGAGTTTCAAAGGGCAGAGATATTTTTTGGAAATTTTTAAACTAATTATAACAGATGGATGTTTTTTGTTGTTTTGTTAATATTAGGTATATTATATGATATAGGATTGTAGCTTATTGTGTAGATTGTGAATCGTGTACACAAGTCACAATAAGAGTACCTAATGACGAAGTTTATTTTAACTACACAATCTATAATGTACCTTCTTAGTAATAACGTGCCTTATAAATTATAATGTTTGATATTTATATTTTCCAGTGGATTGGTGTGATACTTCTGATAAAATGTCTTATGCTGTTAAATCCATTCTATGGTAAGTGCATAGTACAACAGTTTTCCATTTGACACATAAAAACATTATTGTACTCAATTCCGTCGCAAACACTTTCATTTTTTACCATTTCGAACTTCTGAAGTGCTTATAAATAATATTATTAATTTGTGACTGGTATGTGTTCGATATAAGAAGGTATATACAAAATATATTGAATTCAATATTTCATTTTGCACTAAATGAACACTATACTATCCATTAGTCACTGATAAATAATTAAAAATTAAAATGATAGATACCATTATAATTTGCAGTCATGCATTATACAGTTGAGGTAATCAATAGTTGATGATTCATATGAACGATCAATTATTCATTGTAAAAAACTTATCCAATTATATTCTTTCCAGACCACAAGTATCTTATCACCTTATTCAATACAAAATATTTTATTCTAAAACTCTAGGTTATTTTCATCTAAACAAAAAATATCACCTACGATAAACATAAAAAATAAATTATTTACCTACACATAAAAGTAAAATAGTACGTTTCTGACGACTGTAAGACATTACAAAATTAAATATTAATATATACACCAAAGTTATGCCATTTTACCATGGTATACCGTCAATTTATCGTAAACAAATTATTTACGATCAACTGACTTGTTTTATAATTTTATAGAAATTATTAAATACTGAGTTACATTATACTATTTATACTAACAAATTTTTTTTTTTTCAGAGGACTTTTACTATTACAAATCACGCCCAGAACAAATAATATACGATTTTATCATATTCAGTCATTTGTTTATAATATCTGTGTTTCTTAACGTAAATTATTACCTGAAGGAATCAACATATGACGTGAGTACATCCAACATACCTAAATAATATTATATATATATATCTAGTGATAATTTGTTTTAACTTACACTCAATTTGGGTACTTGGGTGAATATAATATTATATCGCATCACTTAGTTTTAATTTTTGCATCATTTTAATTTTAATTTTTTTTGAGATGATTCAAAATTATTATATAATACATTATTCAAAATATTGTTTATTTCTATCCGACGGTCGAGTTAATGTTACAAATTGTTTAATTATATTATTGTAATTTTAAAATTCATGTGATTAATAATTGTTTTAGCACAAAGTCCATAAAATTTATCAGTGGTTAGCAGTCAACACGATATTTCTGTCATTTCACATACTGGCCATTACTTACATCACGATCAAGTATTACTATCCTGCCATACTTTATTATTCAGTACCTATATGCAGTACGTACCTATATAATAATAATAATATTATGAACTTAATAGTTTCTAAAACGTATATCACATAGGATATGTATTATTTGCCAACTGAAATAGTTTTATTTTTCAAATTTGTTACATATAAAATATAATGCATTACGCATAATGTGTATTTAATAGAAATATTACCGGTTTACTTTAAATTATTTTTTATTTTAAAATTTCCTTCGCCTAGTCCCCACAACTTAAGAGAATTGAGTACTTTATCACCAAGGGTACAGGGGTGTCAGGTGGGGGCAATGGAATTTATGTTAAATGAGTAGGTAGGTACTAGATATTTATACAAATTATGTGGTAATTCATAGTGAATTTCAATCATATTTAAATATACCTAATAATTAATATAATTCAATAACGTTTTAATGTGCATAATAAAGTAGCTGATCTACAGCGCACTTCGTTACAAATTAAAAATCCCAATTGTTTATGATTCAAACTATGTTCAATCCATTGACCATTATATAATCTTTAATGTAATTCATGCAAATTCAATGTGCCGATTGTAATACGCCAGGATGTAATATGTCAGAAACCTTCAACAGTGTGTACTCAATAATTTCCCAAAGTTACATCACGATCGGATATATATTCGCTTATGTGTATATAGAAGATTACAAACCTTATCATGAAATCTTATATTCATACACAATAATTATTAATATGTATCACATATTTTTCGTCTGTTTTATTTGTTAAAGTTTAAAAATCTTTCTTAGGGTGCAAAAGTCCGCCGCAAAAGTTTGGTAGTGAAGGAATGCTTAACGGATAAATAAACAGACATACATTCGCTTTTATGTATTTGAATATGCGCACAAGATATACATTAAATTAACACACATGACTCTGTTATAATTCATAATAGGTTAGGAAAATTGGTGGATAATGGGCTAACAATTAGCGTTAAGAATATCGCCAATTAATAACATTAACTAAGTTATATCTAATTGTTTGTACCGTCATATATCCCGTGGTTTTTTGTTTATTGCGTTACAACAGTGTATTTTAATTTTATTTTGTTGGACAGATTGCGCTACTGTTGTTTTTTCACAATCCAGATTTCCTATTTTCCAATGGATTTTCCTAAATTTTTTTCATACGCACCTAGTCCTGACAATTACAAACACACAAAACAAAATTTCAAATCGGTCAAGCTGTTTTTGATTTTTATTATATAGAAGATTATGTAGGTAGATAAATCAGTCCCAATACTACTTATGTGAGTAGTATTTACAAAAAGGGAAATATACTACGAAACTAAAATGTATTCAGTATCCTAAATAAAAAACAAATACCTATAATACTCCAATGAATACAATAAACTAAATAAGTATAAACACTATAAAATTATAAACATATTATACCATAAACTACTATAATCTGCAGTGTATGACAAAATTTATTTATTTTTCAAAGGAATGATCAGTAATAAAATAATAAACAATAATATAAAACGCTAGTATGCAGAATGACACTAATATGTAAACAAAATTAAATGACACTAATAATTTTAAATGTACCCATTTACCCAAGTGCTAGGTTACAGTACATAATATATTAAAGGTACTAACATTAAAATTGTATAGTCTGTTTTAAGTTTTAACGATAATCATTAATTAATATACATGAACATCTATTTAAATGTACACAGTCGTCCACTTGTGCCAGATTTACGTGGTGAAAAGTTTTTACGATGATGAACTTCTCGCAATGCAGCGACCGTTGCCCGCTGTGTCGCCGGCTGTCACGGGCCAAAGCCAGGTGGCTGTCGTAAATCAAAACTCGTCCCAGGGTTCTGTAAGCGTTACGCTCAGTGGGCCACCTGCACCAAACCCGGTTAGCCAAGTCCAAAGCGTACCACCACTTCAACTGCAGGAACAACAGGATGCCGGATGGCAACACATCGGCGATGGTGAAGCGATTTCCGTTCCGGTAGCGTCCCATGTTTACCCGCAACTGTACCACGGCCACCCTGGACCCAATGGCACCCAACCTCACTTTCAGGTAATGCACGAAATAACTAGGTATATATTATGATATGGATTATAATATATTATTATATAAAGAGGAAACAGGGGACCGCGTCACGTCGACCGTCATTCGACGTGTGCAGAAACTATCTTCTTCTTTTAGAACAAATTATTGTTGAACTTGTACAATATTCATATAGTTTATTATTATATTATTTAAGTTTTTCAGAATACAAATTGGCTATCTCAGAATTCTGGTGTACCTTGGTACAAATTATTTGTACGCGTGTCCTAAATAAAAACACATTTACGGGATATATTTAAAATTCCTTTTTGTATTTCGATTTCATGGTTGAAAGCCATTCTATAAATAAAAATAATGTACATCAGGCTTGCTTAGAATTCAATTTCGTGTGACAAAAATAGATGGAATTACGTTCGTTTTACATGATCGCTGTCCAATAGAACATATTGCCACATGTAATTTGAAAAATTAAAGTAAAAAAAAGCATTGTATCATTCTAATTTCCTAAATATAGATTTATTTAAATCAATAATAACTAATAAGTACAATATGCTGTTGCATTTTGTTTTTGATCAATAAAATGTAATGAATATGTTGCTGTATATAGTTGACAAAATCATGATTTTTTTACTATCCCAGTTATAACCCTTAGTTTTTTCATTGAGGAAAATATTGTGATAAGTATCGAAATAGTTATCCTCAATTATTTTGTTGTCAAAACTATTAATTATGAAATTCAATCGGCTGTTGAATAAGGTTTGTTTTAAATAATCAATGATATTTTAAACAATAAAACAACAAGTTTTCACTATGCTGAAATAATTAAAAACACAAAACGTCTTATGCATTGTTGCGATCTATCTAATATTGATCGATAATCCAAGCCAACTAATTAGATGTTAAAAATATTGATTGTAATTTATTGATTGCCAGTGATTACCATCTAAATCAAATAAATGATAAATAAAATATGACTGAGAATTAAGTATTCAAGTTAAATTAAAATTTTGCAAAAAAAACGTATTCATAAATAATGATTTAATGGTTTTTTTAAATTTCAGACTTCGATGTCACAGCATCCTAGACCTTCTGTAGAAGTGCAGCGCCCTCAAGAATACTATAATCCTCCAGCCTATTCACCACCTTACGAACAGCAAGGAGAAATTCACTCAGGGAGATTGATTTAGATGGTCCAAATACGAAAAGTATATAATATATATGTATGACATATGCTTAACGTATCCGATAATAAATACTTTTCCAATATCCACATATACTACGAGATCGTGTAATATTATATTATGTGTTCATTTAAAAATACAAATAATTTTGAGACTGTACTGTTAATGTTTTTGGAATATTATATTATACAAACTATATAAACGAATACAGTATAAATGTTGATTTGAATAACATTTCCTGAAAATATACTGTCCAATAGGAACAACATTTTTGTACCTAGGTACATGTTTTTATCATAGGGTAAGAATATAAATTTAATATACAATAATTATAGCTTATACAGTATTGTTATTAATTGTAAATAATATAAAATTATAAAATAAATTTCAAAATTTTATATTTTTATGCTATTGCATAATATATAACAGTATTAATCCAAGGTCTCATTCTGAGTTCATTTGAAATTTATCAGCTGATAGGTGAGAATATTGTGAAAAAGACTGAGCGTTTTAAAGACATTTCCAAGAGTAGATGTATAAGAGTTGGATCTGGTTTTACCCTTAATGGTGAGAGTATTAGTTGAAGAAAAACGCATTACAGAAATAAAGGAAAGAAACAGTAAACTTATATAGCTCCCGACATTTTTTTGGTAGTATTGAAACTATAGAGTAGACGCTGTTGCCTATAAACTATTTACTTCATTACTTTTCGGCCAAGTTTCCAGAAAATTTGAAGGTTTGGTAATCAGCTATTAGTTCAATGTGATAAAAGAAAATAATATTCACCAGAAAATGTCCGGGAAAGAAACTTCAATATTTCTTGGTTTTCCAAAGGCGGTGAGTTGCAACAATTCACATCAACACATGAAACTTTAACAGATAGTTAAATTTACAGCACTGTGTTGTATATTGAAGCAATTAATTAAGAAAACAGTCAAGAGAGTGATTAAAAAGCAAATGTTGTTAATTGTTATCACTGGATATTATTTTTATTTTTAATGTCATTATGATTATACATAATATAATAATATAATATCAGTTTATCACTTCAGTATAAATGCTATCAACGGTTTAGTTAATACACAATTGACAAAATCTATAACTGAAGTACTTTTAAGTTTACTTTCATATTGATGATTATTGTTCGTATATAGGTATTGAGATATCTATATTGTAGTAATTAATAGTGTAGGTACCGCAAAAACCAAGGGTCCACCTTGTAAGTGTAGGTTGCAATGCTTTGATAAAATTAGTAAAGAATGAAGATATACCATATACAAACAATAGTATTCACTTAGTACTAGGGCTTAGGAGATCATGTTCGACAGAAGCACTTCATTGCAAGGTGTATAAGTAGCAACCACATCGAATTCACGTAGAGTATTATCTAGACATTATATTATTTACCCATCAACTACAATTTTGAAATTTACGTGTTTTTAAACATGATTTCAGTATCTGAGAAGGTGATAAGTACTGTTTCTAAAAAACTAAATAAGTCCCCTGTAATAGAACATGACCTTAGAGGCAAGCATTCAAATCGACCTCACGTGATTAGTACAACAGTAATTGATCTAGTTAAAGAACATATTTCCATGTTACCAAAGGTTTAATAGCATTATAGAAGAGTGATTTCCCAAAAGAGTTATTTGGAGGCATAGCTATGTGTAGCAAAACTTCATTAAATTTATTTGGATTAGGTTGAAGACAAAACTCTTTGGGTCGAGGCTCAAAATGCTTCACTGAGACAATAAACAGATAATTCAAAACTTTTAAATTAAGTTTTTTTAAACCAAAAAAGACGTATGTGTCAAGTTGGAGCAATATAAACTTGCGAGTGAAAAAGAAAAATCGTTAATTCAACCAAGCCACGAAGAACATTTAAAAAACAAAAATTTAACCAGAGATCATAATAATTTAAATAAACAGCAATCGCCTATGGTCCTAGATTTGATGTTGCAGTATTTGATTTAGAAAAAGTATTGACTACACTATAGGGTAGGGAAAGTAATTTTTATTATAAAATAAAACTTGCAGTTTACAATTTTACTGTGTATGATTTCGTTAATAAAGTTGTTTATTGTTACATGTGGGACAAATCTGAAGCAAAAAGGGTGTTCGCGACGGAACGTTACAATAATAGAACGTACCGGTCACCGTATGTGCTCCGCTACGCCTGTAATACCTGTTGCACACCGACCGAATTGTATGATACGTGTGCATATATGTGCAGCAAGACTCAAAGGAAATGGACGGGTTCGCCGAGCAAGACTAGTGAGTATTAGTATGTGGGTAGTATGTGGGTAGTGTGTGTATGTGTGTATATGTGTGCATGTGTATAATTAAACTAATAGACAAGTAGGTAACATACATAATAAATGGTATCTAAGGTTGTACGTCGAGTTGCTGTATATTATTTACAAAGTTGCTAATAATTGCTGGTACAAAATATATAATAAATCACAGCAACACCATTGAATAAATTGTAATATAAAGCGGCCCTTCTCGGCCGTAATCAGACTAACCACAGTGATAATAATAGTATAAATAATAATGACAAAAACTCACAGATTGTGAAGCGCAGACTGGTCAGCTGGTCCTATTGCCTTAATAAATGAAAACAATAATAATAATAACACTGTAGAAAAAATATACAAATAATACCGTGCTCTTAGCGTGCAATACTGATGCTTGCAACGATTCGAGTACGTACACGAGTATAATGTTTACCGAAAACAATTATTTGGCGATTAGCGCCTTTAACAGTGATGATACACCAAACATATACAAAAAAAATGGTGGCGATTAGCACCAATACAGTATTAATAGAAAAAAAAAAAATATTATTTCACGGCGGACTCATAATAATGGGTCGCGTTGACCGTTTTTAGCGAACTGATAGATTGCGGCGGCCTTTTACCACGGACTCCGATGAACTGGTTTTTGGGCGGCTGTAAATTGTAATAATTATTGGCGTTATGCTTATGATGACAGCGGCTAGTGCGTCGGCGTGTCGCGCATAATCAACATAATATTATTTAATTAATTACTATTTAGTATTTACTATACTTGATACAATCATACAAAAATAAAACAATACAAATAGACATGAAAATGTGTTGCGTGAGTGTGAGTGGGTGTGTCGATCGGTGAAGGTGTGGTAGGTACGCGGTTATTTTTTTTTAATATAATAGGTACCTATATTATTCATTGGCTTAGACAAAGGGGTTCCAATAAAATTGGAACTTACTTGTTAACATTTTGAAAACTGATGAAGGTGTAAGGTTTCAAAGAGTTTTTTTATTTAGAGTACTAGCAACCGTTTTATTCATGCAATATTGCAATGTGGGAGAGCTTTTTACACTTAAAATAAAAAATGTTCGTACAATTTTAGAATGAGGTCATACTCAATATTAGGGTGATAGTATGTACTCATGCATTGAAGGCTCAAAAAAAGAGAAATCCATTTATGTTCCTTTAACTTACCCTGGTAAGATGTGTAAAAGTTACAGGTAAACCTTATACACAGTATTCAAGGAGGGAAATGCTGAGATCTTGGATTTTAAGCCTCTTGTAGAAGATAAAAGATTTAATTTTAAAATAGCCTGTGATGGAGACCAATTTAAGTGGCATAATAAAAAAAAAGTTAAAGTGCCATTTGAAAACTATTTGAATTAGATATTAAATATGATTTCAATTCTAAAGACTTTATAAAGATAAATTTCACAAAAAAATACAAAGGTTAAGATATCAAAATCACAGTTTACCTAGAAAAAGTGTATGATGGCAAATTGCCAATTAAAAAAGACTAACACAATGATTTATTATCACTAGGTTCTATGGAACTTATCCCATATTTACATACCACAATTTGTATAAGTCTCTTCTATCAAAATAATTATAATATTCTGTATATAAATCAGACTATTTAGTGTTACATGTTTAATAATATTTTATACTTTTGTTTATAGTAAAATAATTCCAAAAAAAGTTTTTTTAAAGATTTTTTATAATTATAACTTTTTATTATTTTATTTTTTGTTGATTTTTTAATATTATTTTGTATAATACAATATATAATGATATTATTGTTCATTTATTATAAAATACAGTATTCATGATCAATGGTAGTATACAGTAATATGTCATATGTATTGGAATGGGCGATGGGCCCTTAAATATTAAAAGATATTAAATATAAAAACATAACAAAACATTGTAGGTAATAGAAAAAGTTATGACGTATAGTAAAATATTAATATTATAATAAATATAAAATAATAATAATAATATTACTTTCATGATTTCCGTACTCGTAATCTTCAAAACTACTCGTCCGATACGCTTGAAATTCAACATAGATATTCAGCCGGATCAGGGGAAAGTCAGTATCCATATGAAAATCACAAAATATACCTCCCGGGCCACAGAAAGTTAAGACACAGCGTTATTGTTATTAGTGGAGTGCTCAAACGGATTAATATTCAATATATATAATAATGTATATGTATATGAATAAAAATAAAACTCATTGTTTAAAAAAAAAAAAGAAATAAGAAATATTGGTGCTCTCTAACGGAATAATATTCATAAATTATATAAATCTATAAAAATAAGTATGAATGTACAAATAGCTAATCGACTGACGGCTGTAAAATCCCAGCTAGTTATTCATATGAATTTCATATGAATTATTAATATGAAAAAAGCCATAAGTATAGATAAGTAAGACTAGGGAAGACTTTGTTTTAAAGATAGTATCTTCTTAAAAAATACGATCATGTGACATTTTTAAAAACCAATAACATAATATTTAGAGTCGGGTGATTGGTAATAGAATATGATGCATAGCAATATTTTAAAAATCAAATCGAAACAAAATTTAAGTTTAAATTACCATCATAGATTTGTTCCTCCTGAAGAGTTGAGAAAATAGTTACGACCTTTTTCGCTGCGGCTGGCGCTGTGTCTTTCTATATATTCAAGGTATAATATTGTAACCTTTTTATTTTAGGTATAGTTTCTCCGTCTGAATTATAAATACTGTGTAATGGGTAACTGAAAAAAGCTCCTATTGATAGTCTGAAATCACTGTTATTGATACTGACTAGCTAGTTTATTAAGGAACCAGTTGCTGTTGTGTAAAGTGTTGCACTGTA